ACCAGTTCGTTCGTTCGTTCATTTTAATTAACGAAACACCGGGGGCACCGGGCGCGGTACGTCTGTCTCTCGGTTTGCACGGGGAGCGTGCGAAAAACCGAGGCTGCGCAATCTCGCCGCGTCGCCGATCCTGGACTGCTCCCGGCACGATTATTTCGACCGTGTTTATCGCGGCGAATCGAACAACGACACGGCCAGAGGGCCCCCGCGAGGAATTATCTTGATGTCATCGGTAGTTTCAACCCCTTGCCGCGTATAATATCGCGTCGGGCTCGTGACGAAGATCGGATGTTAACGGGAATGGATGTCGCGCGATTCGTTTTGGTTTGTATGAGATATCCTCCTGTGGATCGGTAGGGTTTTGGAGTTGGCTTTCGCATGGGCGAGCTTGGAATTGTTTGTAGCGGGTTGTTAATCTTTTGTGGTGTGGACGTTTGAATGTTTGGAAGATTGGGAATTTGGAAGTTTGAAGGTTTGGTAGTTTGATAGTTTGATAGTTTGATAGTTTGATAGTTTGATAGTTTGATAGTTTGCAAGTTTGCAACTTTGCAAGTTTGAAGGCTTGAAACTTTGAAGGTTTGCAAGTTTGCAAGCTTGAAGGTTTGAAACTTTGAGGGTTTGCAAGTTTGCAAGTTTGAAGGTTTGAAACTTCGAAGGTTTAAAACTTTGAAAGTTTGAAACTTCGAATATTCGAAACTTTGAAGGTTTGAAAGTCCACTAATCTGAAACTTCGAATCATAAATCAATCGCAACATCAACGAACACTCTTCCAAAGCTCCCACAAAAGACCAAAACAAACTCATTTCGACTGTTCAGTGGTTCCACCGACAACGCGAAAGTAATTCCATCAAATTACGAAAGAAATCGAGAGGTTGACGCCTACGAGGCCCAATGATCGTCCCCGAAAAGTCGCTCGCCGAGTCGTGAATTCCTGTGGCGCGCTCGTGGTCCCCAAGCTTTCGTCCGCAGCGTCGAAGTTCATGCATCGAGCGCGCTCGTGCACAGTCGAGGAACGGTCCTCTTCTCCTATGCTCCCTTGGTCCGGCGGAGCGGCCGAGGGACCGTATAAGGTGAACGTGTAGGGCGCGCACAGCTCGGTGGCACGATGATGTCTCTATCCACGACGGAATAGCGGGCCCGTTAGGTGTGCGAGCCCGATGCAACACGTGTGCACGCGGATGAGCCAGCGCGTGCATGTGCAAGCACACAGGCGCCGTCGAGGCATGCAACGAGCCCAGGGTCGCGTGGGGTCAGCCAGTCACGGAGTTAATTAGACGGCCGTGGGCTTCGGGAGCTCACGTGGCAGCACGCTCAGATATCAATCGCTTCTGCGCTCCTCGACGGACCCGTGGCTTGCTTGCTTTTCTTAAAACACTCTCTATCTCCCTTCCATCCCGCTCCGTAGCCCCGTACGAGCACGAAAAATCGGATACCGGACAGATAGAATCGCGGCGCTTAGAACGATCCCCACCTCGTGTCGTTTAATTAAGCAGCGAGGAAAAGTTCCGAGGCAGGGCTTCACTTCTAAACACGATTCCGCGTGTTCGCCGAACGTTCAGCTGGATCGAGACATTCGGCAGTGTCGATGGAGATACGCGTTGCCGTGGAAAATAGGTTTAAGTAGTCAGAATCATGTTTTGAAAGTTTTATCGTATAGATTCCAAACGATTTTATAAGTAGCATTTCCACCTAAACCCTACTGAAACCTAAAGTACCCATTTAAATCAAGAGATCCCTTCCTCTGTTCATGGTACCTTTGACTCCTGCGTTCCCCAAGGATCCCTTACTAGAAGAAACCTCCGGATCCTACGCGGAAGTGGCAACCTCCAGGTTCCCTCGACGACGCGATTATCTCGACTAATTCGAGCACACCATTCCGCAGCGAGATAGGAAACCAACGAAAGAACCCCTCCCACCCAGCCGCGTTTCTTATTCGTCCATCAGTAGCCTGGAATCCCGTTAGAA